TTACTTCGAGACTCTAGAAAGATCTAATTCTCCTGCATGATGAGTTATCAGTAAAAAATTTAATATTAGCACTAGGTGACACTGATTGGCAGAGAGAGCTAGCTGACAGCAATATTAACAAAGATGTTGAAACTTTTTTACATAAAACCCAAAACCTCCATAACATGCATTGTCTGATCAAAATGAAGCAGGTCACAGCAGAGAGACTAAACAGCCCATAGCTAACAAATAGCATCCTCCAATCCATTGATTTGAGGATACTATTTGATTTGAAAAACTGTTCAGATCAGGCCTGATTACTAAAGAACTGGTAAAACAATACACGTCAATACTCACAAAACTAATACGAAAATCAAAGCAAATGTATTATGGAAATAGATTTATTGAAATAAAAGGTGATATGAAAATGACCTGGCAAACCCTCTCCAAAATTTTGGGCTCTAAAAAACTGTCTAGAAACAGAAAGATAAACTTAGCTAAACCAGATGAACCTCACATACAGGCTATAGATATGGTCAACAAACTTAATGTCTTCTTCTCTACTGTAGGATCAAAGCTAGCAAGCAAAATTCCTAGCTCAAATACTCAGCTGAAAGAATACCTCACTGGCACCTACCCAAATACTCTATATCTAGCTCCAGCTAATTCTACTGAAGTCTCACTTCACACCCATATAAGAGTGTTGGTACCACTATACGTTCATACATTCCCTTCTTTGTCGCCATAGATAATGTTTTTTGTCTCCACATATACCTCAATGCACCACTCACCTTTTTTTCTTCATCAATTCTATGGTTAACCTCATCCTTCATACATCCATCCATTGACACATCAACTCCCAAATATCTGAAAACATTCACTTCTTCCATACTCCTCCTCCCCAATTTGATATCCAATTTTTCTTTATCTAAATCATTTGATACCCTGGAGATGGACTTACAGTCTCATTCTGAGGAGGTGTCTGTTAATTTGCAGTTTAAACTGTGTTAAGCACCTTCTGCAAGACAGTGTGGCAGTGAATGATGGTGAAGTTTTTCTTTTCGGGCCACCTGCCTTGGTGGAATCGGCACGTGTGATAATAAAAAAAAAAAAAGAATTCACCTTACTCTTTTATTGTTCACTTTCAATTTTACTTTACACACACTCCCAACTCGTCCACTAACCTTGCAACTATTCTTTAAACCCCACTAAGAAATATCAGCAAAAGTAACTGTGTCAATTCCATTGTTTAGATTCCCATATTTAATCCACCTCCCAATACCCTGCATTCTTCTTTACAACCCCACTATAATTTAACAACCCTGGGACATTACACATCCAGTCTAAAGACCTACTTTTACTGGATAGTCCCCTTTTCTACACCCTTAACCTGAGCCTCACTATCTATAAACTTTACAGCATTAGTACTTACCACTATTTCATATACTTCAACTCTGCCACATTTCCCCTATCCACTTTATCATATGTCTTTTGTAAATCCATAAATGCAATGAAAACTTCCCTACCTTTATCTAAATACTGTTCACATATATGCTTCAATGTAAACACTTGATCTACACATCCCCTACCCACTCTAAAACTTCCTTGCTCATCAAAAATCCTACATTCTGTCTTGCCTCTAATTCTTTCAATAATAACCCTACCATAAACTTTTCCTGGTATACTCAGTAAACTTATTCCTCTATAATTTTTAGAATCTCTTTTGTCCCCTTTCTCTTTATATAAAGGAATTATACATGCTCTCTGTCAATCCCTAGGTACCTTCCCCAGGCCCGGTGGCCTGGTGGCTAAAGCTCCCGCTTCACACAAGGAGGGCCCGGGTTCGATTCCCGGCGGGTGGAAACATTCGACATGTTTCCTTACACCTGTTGTCCTAGTTCACCTAGCAGCAAATAGGTACCTGGGTGTTAGTCGACTGGTGTGGGTCGCATCCTGGGGGACAAGATTAAGGACCCCAATGGAAATAAGTTAGACAGTCCTCGATGACGCACTGACTTTCTTGGGTTATCCTGGGTGGCTAACCCTCCGGGGTTAAAAATCCGAACGAAATCTTATCTTATCTTATCTTAAAAATACCAATCACTCCAACACTATATCCCCCCTGCTTTTAACATTTCTGTCATGATCCTATCAGCTCCAGCTGCTTTACCCCCTTTCATTCTACGTAATGCCTCACGCACCTCCCCATACTCACATCCTGCTCTTCTTCGCTCCTAAAAGATGGTACACCTCCCTGGCCAGTACATGAAATTACCACCTCCCTTTCTTCTTCAACATTTAAAAGATCCTCAAAATATTCCCGCCATCTACCCAATACCTCCATCTCGCCATCTACTAACTCCTCTACTCTGTTTTTAACTGACAAATCCATTCGTTCCCTAGGCTTTCTTAACTTGTTCATCTCACTCCAAAATTATTTCTTATTTTCATCAAAATTTCTTGACAGTACCTCTCCCACTCTATTATCTGCTCTCCTTTTACACTTTCTCACCACTCTCTTCACCTTTCTTTTACTCTCCATATACTCTGCACTTCTTATAACACTTCTGCTTTGTAAAAACCTCTCGTAACCTACTTTTTCTCTTTTATCACACCCTTTACTTCATCATTTCACCAATCACTCCTCTTTCCTCCTGCACCCACCCTCCTATAGCCACAAACTTCTGCCCCCATATTCTAATACTGCATTTTTAAAATTATTCCAACCCTCACTCCAACTTCTTCCTCCCTTAGTTTATACACTTTCACCCCTCTCTTACTTGTTGTTGCCATTTTCCTTTTGTCCCATCTACCTCTTACTCTAACTGTAGCTACAACTTAATAATGATCCGATATATCAGTTGCCCCTGTATAAACATGTACATCCTGAAGCCTATCCATCAATTTTTTATCCACCAGTATACAATCTAAGAAACTACTTTCATTACATGCTACATCATACCTTGTATATTTATTTATCCTTTTTTTTCATAAAATATGTATTACTTATTACCAAACCTCTTTTTACACATAGCTCAATTAAAGGCACCCAAAATTTACCTACTACTCCCTTCACAACATTTTTACCCACTTTAGCATTGAAATCCCCAACCACAAGTACTCTCACATTTAGTTCAAAACTCCCCATACACTCACTCAACAATTCCCAAAACCTCTCTCTCTCTCCTCTACACTTCTCTCTTCTCCAGGTGCATATATGCTTACTATAACCCACTTTTCACATCCAACCTTTATTTTACTCCACATAATCCTAGAATTAATACATTTATACTCGCTCTTTTCCTGTCATAGCTTATCCTTCAACATTATTGCTACTCCTACTTTAGCTAGCTCTAACTCTGAACTAATCCTATTTACTTCTCTCCACTGAAACTCTCCCACCCCCTTCAGCTTTGTTGTACTTAAAGCCAGGACATCCAGCTTCTTCTCATTCATAGCATCCACAATCGTCTCTTTTGTTATCATTCGCAAAACATCCACGCACATTCAGACATCCCACTTTGACAATTTTCTTCTTCTTCTTTTTGGTAATCTTTACAGGAAAAGGGGTTTACTAACCCATTGTTCCCAGCATTTTAGTTGACTTTTGCAACACGCATGACTTACGTAGGAAAGATTCTTATTCCACTTCCCCATGGATATAAAAGAAAAAGTAATAAGAACAAGAACTATTAAGATAAAATCAAAGAAAACTCAGATGAGTGTGTATAAATAAACGTGTATATGTAAGTGTAGTGTGAGCTAAGTGTAAGAAGCAGCAAGACATACCTGTAATCTTGCATATTTATGAGACAGACAAAAGACACCAGCAATCCTACCATTATGTAAAACAATTACAGGCTCTCATTTTACACTCACTTGGCAGGATGGTAGTACCTCCCTGGGTGGTTGCTGTCTACCAACCTACTACTACTCACATTAGTATTAAGATAAAATAAAGATTTGTTAAAAAGTTAACTATTCTTATCTTGTCTAGACTTAAGTAATTATTATGTACTAGGATTAGTTTGCTTGAAATGCCCCATCATGATAGAGACTTTCTTTGTACTTAATACCTTATTATTATACTATAAAGGAGATAATATCTTATTATTATACTATAAAGGATATATATACTAGGAACAAGGTAAAAAGAATTATTTACATTTACATGTGTTAGCTAAAAAAATAAAAAATCATTCTTCTCCTTTTCTGTTGCTACATTCATTAGGCACCTTTTGGCTCTCTTCTTGAACTGGCTCATGCTATGACTGGCTTTGACATGTGCAGGCAATCTGTTCCATTCCTTTACTGCTGTACAATAAAGGGTGTTTGAAGCCTGGCCACTGACTGTGGTTACGACAAAGTTGTGCTCTCTCCCCCTAGTACTATGACTGCTTTGGTTCCCAGCCTTGACAAAATTGGCAGCAAGGTATTTTGGACACTATTTGTGAGCAGTTTTATAAACCTGATTTAACTTCAGTTGTTTTACTGTCTTCAACATTCCACATATCCAACTGTTGTAATTCATCCTGGCCTACATGTTCTCTTGGACCCAGGTCCAAGATGAATCTTACCATTTTGTTCTATGTGATTTGCAGTTCATCATTCAGCTTTTTGTCAAGGCAGAGTGCCATGAAGAGCAAGCATAGTCCATATGACACTGATTAAGGGCTAGACGTAGGGTCCTGCGAGCCTCAGTAGGTAGACACTGAGCTTGTCAGTAGATAAACTTCAGTCTGGCATTCACTTTCTTTACTACACTGTTCCCTATCAGTTCTCCTGACATGCATGGGTCAAAGGGGATTCCCAGATATTTTACTGAGGAAACTGAAGTGACATTAAAATTATTTACCCTTCTCAGTTTATGTTTCATGTCAAAGAGTATGGCATTCTGTTTTCCCGAGGTGTATCGATAATGTGTTGTCTACTAACCATTTACTGTCCCATTTTTAAATAAGTAAAGGATCTGCACATACAAAAAACAGCAAGTCTCTTTATCACGAAAAATACGAATTTACCCGTCCTCATTTCACATAGTTCTGTTGCTGGTTGTAACACCTGGCGGAGCACTCCCTGTGTAACAGATGTGGCCAATGGAGACCCCTGGTGAGGGACACTGAAGAAGACTATAGCCATGGTCTGCTTGGCAAAACTGTTAGCTTCCCACTGGTTATGCTGTAAAAATATCCACATCTTTAATATATAAAATATAATACTACTATATAAAATATAATATGTATATAAAACATAATACAGTGAACCCCCGACTTATGATGTCCTGAACCTACATTAAAACCGACTTACGATGCTTGTCAGCGTAAAAATCTGACCCCGACACACGTTGAAAAACTCAACCTACATCATTCGTCCGTACACGTCCACGTCTGTCTGGCCTGAGCGCCTCAGCTGAGCTAGTGTGACATTGTTTACCACTGATTATCCACCCAGGATAACCCAAGAAAGTCAGTGTGTCATCGAGGACTGTCTAACTTATTTTCATTGGGGTCCTTAATCTCGTCCCCCAGGATGCGACTCACACCAGTCGACTAACACCCAGGTGAACAGGAAAAAATGCCTGGAACTAGTGCTCATATTGGTGAATTTAAGGCCAGCAAAGGTTGGTTTGAGAGATTTAAGAATCGTAGTGGCATACACAGTGTGATAAGGCCTGTTCTGGAAGAAGATGCCAAACAGGACCTACATTACTCAGGAGAAAAAGGCACTCCCAGGACACAGTCTCACAACTCATCACTACATCTTCAATAAAGGTAAGTGTCATTTATTCTTCATTTAGTACACTAGCACATGCACAATATATATTGTGCATGTATCCTCCTTTTTGTGTGTAGGAAAATGTATATTTTATGTGGTAAAAAGTTTTTTTTTCATACTTTTGGGTGTCTTGAACGGATTAATTTCATTTCCATTATTTCTTATGGGGAAAATTATCCGACTTACGATAATTTCGTCTTACGATGTGCTCTCAGGAACGGATTAATATCGTAAGTCGGGGGTCCACTGTATATAAAATTCTTCCAAGTTCAAAACAGGTGACATGCATATATCTTAAACAGATTATCATGTAAAGTAAAAGGACACGAGTGCAACTAATGTGATATTTTTATTGTGGCAACGTTTCGCTCTCCAGGAGCTTTGTCAAGCTCCTGACAAAGCGGCTTGACAAAGCTCCTGGAGAGCGAAATGTTCCCACAATAAAAATGTCACATTAGTTGCACTTGTGTCCTTTTACTTTACATATTGTCGGTAATTCTACCGACTTTATTACAGATTATCATGCTTGGGATAATGAAAAATGCATGAATGCATAGCAGCCCTTTGAGCCCATTTGGAATGTCACACATTCACACCAAATACAGTACAGTGGGACCTCAATATTTGTACAACTCAATATTCACTCACCTTTTTCGAGAAAAATTTGACTTGGTATTCAGACATTGCCTTGATATTTGATCTAAACAAAATGGTCCATCTGGATGAAGCTCAACAAAAACAAAGCATCACGTGCTCAGTTTCTCGTCAGCATTCATTTATTAAGTATAGTTTGTACAAGATTCATGAAAGTTTTTTGGTACTTCATTGTTATTCTGTGGTGTTTTTTAAATATTTTCATTGAAAATAAGTAATCATGGCCTCCAAAAAAGTAGTGATCCAAACAAGCCTAAAAGGAAAGCAATGAGAACAACAATTAAAGTGAAAAAAGAACTCATTGTGAAGTGGGAAAGTGGAACACGTATATCAGACCTGGCCATTCAATATGTTATGGCAAAATCCCCTTTATCGTCCATACTGAAAAATAAAGAGGCAATAAAAGGGGCTGATGTGGCAAAAGAAGTGAAAATTCTTGCTGTGAAAATGTCACAGATAACTGAAGAAATGAAAAAGCTTTGGTTAGTGTGGATTAACAAAAAGCAACTGGCCAATTATAGAGTTTTTGAAACAATTTGTGAAAAAGCAAAGTGGTTAGATACAGTAATAGTACCTTGGTACTCGAACAGCTCCCAACTCGAATAATTCGGTATTCGAACACTTTGTTCCATAAAAAAAATCGCTCAATAGTTGACTGTTTGCTCGGCACTCAACCAAACAAACACGACATGCTACCGAGGAATACGTTAGGAGTTTAGTGACTACGTGGAGGCTGAGGGTTTTATTCCCCAACAAGTGTTCAATTGTGATGAGACAAATTTATTTTTGGAAAAAATGCCAAACAGAACCTATATCACTTGAGAGGAGAGGTCACTGCCAGGACACAAGCCAATGAAGGACAGACTCACTCTTTTGTTGTGTGAGCATTTAAGTGGTCATTTAACCCTTTCACTATTGGTGCCGTAATATTTTGGCCTGCAAGGCAGTGTTGGTGCTGTAGTATTACACAAAAATTCTAGCAGCTTCAAATCTAGTGAGAGACCTGGTAGACCTACATGTGAGAGAATGGGTCTGTGTGGTCAGTGTGTGCAGTAAAAAAAAAAATCGAGGAGGCAGTGGTGCATTATGGGAACGCCATTTCAGTAGTACACTTTGTATATATAATATGCACATAAGGCATTTGTTGAACTGAGGAGGGAATTTATTACCCTCCAAGGTAGGGTAATCCATAAAAAAAAAAAAACACATTTAATATCACAGATTTAATAGCTTTCTTTGCCAGACAAGCAATCAAACTTTGACACTAAAATGTGGAGTAAGCCAGGTAACAATAACCAGAAACTTAGTTTTTCAGGTATCAAAAGAGAAGATGACACTCAAATTTGAATGATTTACTTGCCTTTACTTGTGAGAAAAACTCTTCTTTGCTATATTCTTTAGCAAAGACATCATTATCTCCAGATGATTTGCTTTTTAATTCTACCAGCATGTTTTTAACTAGAAGACCACCCATGGAATGGGAAATCCATATAATTGGTCGTTCACCAACCCCTGCTGCTGCTAATGCATGTGCCATGTCTCTGCTGCGCTCAATAACAGATTTTCTGAAAGAAAGAGAAACTTTTTACAACTTTGTTACAAACCACCTATATTTTAATTGAAATATAACTTGAAGATTTGTTCGGATTTTTAACCCCGGAGGGTTAGCCACCCAGGATAACCCAAGAAAGTCAGTGCGTCATCGAGGACTGTCTAACTTATTTCCATTGGGGTCCTCAATCTTGTCCCCCAGGATGCGACCCACACCAGTCGACTAACACCCAGGTACCTATTTTGCTGCTAGGTGAACAGGACAACAGGTGTAAGGAAACATGTCGAAATGTTTCCACCGCCGGGAATCGAACCCGGGCCCACCGTGTGTGAAGCGGGAGCTTTAGCCACCAGGCCACCGGGCCACCAGTGTAATGTAATGAAGAGATAACTTATCCAATACAGTGGACCCTCGACATTCGATACTAATTCGTTCCTGAGAGCTATCGAATGTCAAAAATATCTAAAGTCGAATTAATTTTCCCCATAAGAAATAATGGAAATCAAATTAATCCGTGCAAGACACCCAAAAGTATGAAAAAAAAAAATTTACCACATGAAATATTAAGTTTAATGCAATAGAATAATTACAATAGCAACAATAACAATAGAATAAATGACACTTACCTTTAATGAAGATCTAGTGATGATTGATGGGATGGGAGGAGGGCAGTGTGTGGATGGTGTTAGTGTTTAGAAGGGGAAACCCCTCCCATTAGGACTTGAACTGGCAGCCTCACCATGCCTTACCACACTGTGTATGCCACTACGATTCTTAAATCTTTCAAATCAACCTTTGCTGGCCTTAACTTCACTCACATCACCACTAGTTGCAGGCAATTTCTTTACCAAATCATCATGCACTCCGACACACGCACTCAACTTTCGTACTTTGCAATTATCTCTTTCGTCATTTCGATAGTCATTAGCACCTTTTTTCTCGAAGGGTTGGCACTAGAAGCTTTCTTGGGGCCTATGGTTACTTATTTTGCAGAAACAAGCACCAAAAACAGTGATAATATGGATAATATGGAATGTACTGAATGTATCCGTAGATGTGCGCACACTGGCTGGCTTGTAAACACTGGAACACACGGGGCAGTTCAGGCCACATGTGGACATGTCTCGTACGAATCGTATCGAATGTCGGGTTTTCCAATGAATGTTGAGGCAAAATTTTTGCGTTAAAATGCATCGAATGTCGGATTTATCGAATGTCGATGCCATCAAATGTCGGGGGTCCACTGTACTTGTACAGTAGCTAGGTGATCCACATCTAACTTACTTAACAAACATTTCCTAATAGTCACCCATACAGGAGGGCTCTTAGGTTTCCGACCCTTTACAGCAAGTGAAAATCACTGGAGGGTGGAAAAGAGCATTTTTTTCATTATCAAATGCATCTAAAATGCCTGATAGTGTGTTTACACTATCATATATTAATTGCTCAATAAAAAAAGATAAAACACTGAACATAATGGACAATGGCTCAATTGAAAGCCAACAAACAATTTTTTTTCTTTTAACAAGTTGGCCGTCTCCCACCGAGGCAGGGTGACCCAAAAAGAAAGAAAATCCCCAAAAAGAAAATACTTTCATCATCATTCAACACTTTCACCTCACTCATACATAATCACAGTTTTTTCAGAGGTGCTCAGAACACAACAGTTTAGAAGCATATACACATAAAGATACACACATATCCCTCCAAAATGAAAATATCCCATACCCATCCTTTAAAGTGCAGGCATTGTACTTCCCATTTCCAGGACTCAAGTCCAGCTATATAAAATTAACCAGTTTCCCTGAATCCCTTCACTAAATATTACCCTGCTCACACTCCAACAGCTTGTCAGTCCCAAATACCATTTGTCTCCATTCACTCCAAACACGCTCATGCACGCTTGCTGGAAGTCCAAGCCCCTCGCCCACAAAACCTCCTTTACCTCCTCCCTCCAACCTTTTCGAGGACGACCCCTACCCCTCCTTCCTTCCCCTACAGATTTATACACTCTCCATGTCATTCTACTTTCATCCATTCTCTTTAAATGATCAAACCACCTCAACAACCCCTCTTCAGCCCTCTGACTAATTTATTTATTTATTTATTTATTTATTTATTATTATTTGGACATGATACATAGTTGTACAAAAGAAATACAGTGGTTGAGTGTACATGCCAAAAGCCCCTTATTTATTTATTTACTTATTTATTTATTTAGTAATTTGAGCATACATACAGAGGTACAAAAAAATACAGGTAAGAGCAGCATGCCAAAGCCACTTGTATGCATAGCATTACGGGCTGGCTTAAAATTAACTTAAGATTAACTAAGCAATGATGTAATCAGTGATAAAACATTATTGTAAACAGATAACAATAAAGCACAAATGAGTATTACAAAGACAGGTCATATGGTTGCATGCATTGCTGTACATTCAGTAGAATGGAGTATTCTGTTAGGTAGTGTATTTAAAAAATAACAAAGTTAGATTGGGTCTTAGGCTTAACATTTATGTGATATAATTGTGAGAAACATTTAAGATATACAATTTATAAGGTTCAGTTATTCAGTATTTATTTGGTTTTGGGTGAGTAAGTGATCTTTGAGAAGAGAATTGAATTTATAAACAGGTAGTGTTTCTTTTATATTTACAAGTAATGAATTCCAGATTTTAGGGCCTTTTATGTGCATTGAGTTTTTGCATAGCGTGAGAAGGACACAAGGAACATCAAAGAGTGATCTGTGTCTTGTGTTATGGTCATGTTTGAGGGGAGGGTTAATATCAGAGTTAAGTGTTCTATGTATGTAATAGGTGCAGTAATAAGTATGGATGTTTTGTATGGTGAGTAGGTTTAGTGTTTTGAATATTGGTGGAGTGTGCTGCCTGTAGTGGGAATTTATCATCATTCTGACTGCAGCCTTTTGTTGGGTAATTAGTGGTCTGAGATGGTTAATTGTTGTTGAGCCCCATGCACAAATTCCATAGGTGAGATAGGGGTAAATAAGAGAGTGATATAGGGCCAGGAGGGCTGACTGTGGAACATAGTACTGTATCTTCGATAATATGCCTACGGTCTTGGAAATTTTCTTAGAAATTTGTTGTATATGTGTATGAAATTTGAGTCTATTATCAAGGTGGATTCCTAAGAATTTTCCCTCTGTTAGCTTTGTGATAGGTGATCCTTGTATGCAGAGCATTGCGGGCAGGCTTAAAATTAACTTAAGATTAACTTTTACTAACTCCACACTTTCTCCTAATTTCCACAATCCGAATACTCTGCATAATATTTACACCATACATTGCCCTTAGACAGGATATCTCCACCACCTCCAACCGCCTCCTTGCTGCAGCATTTACAACCCAAGCTTCACACCCATATAAGTGTGTTGGTAACACTATACTGTCATACATTCCCTTCTGTGCCTCAAAAGATTATGTTTTTAGTCTCCACATATACCTCAATGCACCACTCACCTTTTTTCCTTCATCAATTCCATGGTTAACCTCATCCTTCATACATCCATCCACTGACACGTCAACTCGGAAATATCTAAAAACATTCACTTCTTCCATACTACTCCTCCCCAATTTGATATCCAATTTTTCTTTATCTAAATCATTTGATACCCTCATCACCTTACTCTTTTCTATGTTCACTTTCAACTTTCTACCTTTACACACACTCTTAAACTCATCCACTAACCTTTGTAACTTTTCTTTAGAATCTCCCATAAGCACAGTATCATCAGCAAAAAGTAACTGTGTCAGTTCCCATTTTTGTATTTGATTCCCCATAATTTAATCCCACCCCTCTCCCCAACACCCTAGCATTTACTTCTTTTGCAACCCTATCTATAAATATATTAAACAACCATGGTGACATTACACATCTCTGTCTACTGGGAAGTAGTCTCTCTCTTCCACACACCCTAACCTGAGCCTCACTATCCTCATACAAACTCTTTACAGCATTTAGTAACTTACTACCTATTCCATATACTTGCAACATCTGCCACATTGCTCCCCTATCCACTCTATCATATGCCTTTTCTAAATCCATAAATGCAATGAAAACTTCCCTACCTTTATCTAAATATTGTTCACATATGTGCTTCAGTGTAAACACTTGATCTACATATCCCCTACCCACTCTAATACCTCCTTGCTCATCCACAATCCTACATTCTGTCTTACCTCTAATTCTTTTAATAATAACCCTACCATACATTTTTCCTGGTATACTTTGTAAACTTATTCCTCTATAATTTTTACAATCTCTTTTGTCCCCCTTCCCTTTATATAAAGGAATTATACTACATGTTCTCTGGCAATCCCTAGGTACCTTCCCCTCTTTCATACATTTTTTAAACAAAAGTACCAACCACTCCAACACTATATCCCCCCCTGCTTTTAACATTTCTGTCATGATCCCGTCAGTTCCAGCTGCTTTACCCCCTTTCATTCTACGTAATGCCTCACGCACCTCCCCCACACTCACATCCTGCTCTTCTTCACTCCTAAAAGATGGTATACCTTCCTGACCTGTGCATGACATTCCCATCTATCTCTCCCTGACCTGTGCATGACATTCCCATCTATCTCTTACTCTAACTGTAGCTACAACTTAATAATGATCCGATGTATCAGTTGCCCCTTTATAAACATGTACTTCCTGAAGCCTAACCATCAACCATTAATCCACCAATATATAATCTAACAAAATACTTTCATTACGTGCTGTATCATACCTTGTATATTTATTTATCCTCTTTTTCATAAAATATGTATTACTTATTACCAAACCTCTTTCTACACATAGCTCAATTAACCCTTTGACTGTCGCAAGCCCCAATCCTGAAGTGTCTCCTGGTGTCGAGAAATATTTGAAAAAAAAAAATTATTTTTTTTCTTATGAAAATGCTAAGATTATTTTTCTGGTTGTTTTAGCCCCCAAAAAAATATTTTGCTCATCAGTACTTACCGAGATATAGAGGCATGAAGTTGGCAG